ATTACTTGGCAAAGTTTAGCAACACAAACGTAGGATGCCAGTGAAGCACTATGTCGCTTTTAACAAACGACCAATGAAGAAAAAGCCACATAGAGAGACCCCACCTTGGTTAGAGCAGAAGGTCTTCAAAAGCACTTTAGACCTAAAAGTCGTCAAAAAAATTGTCGGGTTCGCTTACTGCTGCCACCAGTGTAGCGTCCCAAGATTTCCTAAGAAGTCAGTAAGTGCAGTTGTATACATTTATTCTGAAGGAAACAGAGCAAATGGGCCTGAGTATGACTGAAGGCCGGTCCACATGTGCAAGGGCCAGACAAATCCTAGAGTGTCCGCCAAATGTTATGTGGTCCCAAAAACAAAGCATTACATCTGCTACTGAAATGGAAAGCGTTGGTTACCCCTTCTCGCTTTAGCGTTATTCATTTCGAAGGAATGCGACTTAGGACTCAGATATTTAATTAGCTGGCGTGATTGTCCAAGTACAGACGATATAGTGTTTCCCCGGTTATCGGAGTTAGCATCAGATCATTTTTATCGTTTCCTTTAGTGACATAACTATGTCTTCCCATTCAAAATACATTTTGTCTTTGATCCTTCAAGGTGGTTTTCCATTTGAACCTAGTTCACTTTTAGTCAATACAAAGGTGACTCCTCCAAAATTTCCTAAATATGTCGTATAGATGGACTGAGGACTGCTGATAAGGCCGCCTCAACGAAACTGGAAGCAATCGGACCAAACAAGCAATCAAATCATCACACTCATTTTTTTGGAAAATTAAGTGTTTATTTTTATAGGTTGCAACGTTTAAAACTCGTTCAATAAGCTCTTCTTCGTTCATGGAAAATTCTGCAAAGTAATTCCTCTCATAAGCTTTAAAAGAATGCATCATAAGTAATCCCTGACCTACTGAAATTCATTGCTAAAAATAGACTTTGTGGTTAAAGCACTCAAGGTCACATGATCAAAAGGTATTAAAAAGACCAGGAACAACTGCAACGAGAACACACAAAACACTCATGTCCGTTGATTCGCTTGGATCATGGGGCATGAAGCGGAAACGACGATCGCGACAGTTTAGTCAGACTCTGAAGTCTTCCATTACACCAGCTATACCGTTGTTGGGCCAGGTAATCGGTGAGAATGGCGAATCGACCAACCTGGACCTTGACGAAGGAGCCTTCTTTGGATTTTGCACTGATTTAAGAGATAGTGAAGTAATACGCCTTATCGAAACCATTCAAAGGGATGATGCTAAGCAGTTTTCAAGTTTTGTGTTCAAACGAATAGAATCACTTACTATGAACGTAATCCTGACTGAACTTCCCGTAAGTAATTGTTTTGATCATATTTGGCGACGACTTTGACAACCGACCGTTTGAGTACGTAATCGCGCAGCACATAGCCACTGGTGGAAGTACATTATTTGAACTTTAGACACTTATATACCAGTGGCATCTTTAGTGACTTTTAAAATAATCCGATAGAAGGGTTTTGGCTTGTTTACACATTAGTAACACAAATGGTTGATGAGCGATTTACATAAACAATGTGGAATGCATTTGGCTGTTTATGCGAATTCTACTTTTTAGTCTGCTGAATACATGGCAAGATCGTTCTGGAATGCACTGAATAACATTGGCCTCCTTCACACAGCATGCATTCTGTCTGCCCACGCCATTATCGATGAGCTTCTGAGACGCAATGTCACTTTCTCGATGACGGATGTAAATGCCGCACCCTCTGAGTGATTTACCTCTAAAACCAGACGAGATTTTCCCAGTGGAGGGGAGAGAGTGCACTCACATACAAAAAAGCCCACAATACGTTCCTTTGCATTAAATTTTAATTATCAGAGTACTATTAAAAGCTAGAAAGAAAAAATTATTCCTTTTTATTAGGAAAGTGTTACTCCAGTTCACATCTGTGCAGCAATGGGTGATTACGTTGGCCTCAGGAAGCTGCTCGTGGCTGGATTTCCCCACCTCACTCAGGATAGGGTAAGTCATTTCATAATGGAATGCATCAGTAACCTCCTAGCAACAGCCACTGCACAGCCGTTCGGTCAAGCGGTCAGTGTCAAGTAGCCTAAATAAGTTCCACCAGAGTAGCAGTCTGAATCGTTTTACTTAATACAGTCCGCCTTTTGACTTGTGAAAGCCTGGACTTCCTTTCTGTGCAAAAAATAATGGAAA